ACAGAATGTACATGGTGGTAAGAATATGTATACCAACCTATTACGCAACATGATAAGAAGAGTTAGATGAGGAAAAAACAAAAAGAATGGTAAAGAATGACTACCACGTTTATCTATAATACAATTTTAAGGAGCAGATTGGAAATGAGGATCGATGATAGCGAACTTTGTTACAAAATAGTTCCCAGTAGCCATATATGCAGGAGAAGACAATAGGCAATTAGGCCTAGCCTTGCTCTGGGACGACTGCTTAGAACTCGGCCACCAGATACCCTGAAGCAATTAAAAACAGATAAAATATCATTACAAACGAATAAAATACATAGAAGGCAAGCACTAAAATCCCTCTATGGAAAAATAGTTTCCCGTTCCCTGATAATTTGGGTTGAACATTTTACCAAATTCCATCGACTCGATCTGCAATCAACTTTCCTTGTTTTGGTATCAGACCAGATGTGTTGAGAGACTTGAACAATCGACCTGCCAAACAAAGGACACGCTTAAGTTCTGTAAATTCTGAGACATATATCGATCAGAAGTTATTTTTCTTAAAAAATATTCTAGAATGCCAACCTTTGTCCTCGTCAGTTTCCTCACTGTTGATCAGGCGATCAGATTCCGAGCCAATATTTAGTGCAAGATGGTCTGTTGATCCTTTTCGCATGGTTCGCACGTGAGCAGCCGAGGCCACAGGAGTTATTGTATTCTTTCCAAGTGATCCCTGCGTAAGCATCAAAAAGTAATCAGATTTCCTAACAGCATAATCTGCAGGGAAGTATGATACTATCAGTAGAATCAAACAGATAGAAAGACCCTACAATAATGGTATTGACGACTGAGAAATCCAGCATTTAGCTTTAAATTAGAGAGAGACAGATGCTTCAAATTTATGAAAGTGCTTCTATTTGGGAGCAACATCATCATCATAAAATTAAGCAGTATATTGACAGTACATCAAAACATGATTATGCATTTAACAGTCTGTGATTAGTAACACCTTTTATTTTCTTTAACACTATATTTGTTACCACAAACTAATTCAAACAATTTTCATACTACTTCATCAAACATGCATAACACAAACTGATTTCCGTAATCCATCTGCCTCCACATTCACACAAAGTTTTATTGGGAAGTCATGCTTAAATCCACATTCACTGCCATGTTGCATTCTCAACAAAGAGGATTGAAAATTCAAGCATCACTTGAAGATGTTCCAATTATTTGACCACAAAAGATTCATCACTATATATCTATATAATATATATATATATATATATATTATAGCCTTAAAATTCATAATTTAAGTTCTCTGAGATCACTATATAGCCTTAAAACATTTAGGTCAAGGAAGCTATACAGGACGGCAATAATGAAGCAGATTCATTCACAAAACATAGATCTATTACATTGCACTATGACTAAAGAACCATCCATACATATAAATTTTCAATCTATCGGTAAGAGATACTCAGAGGACTATTTAAACCACCATATATGATAGTATACCTTTTAACTAAAATTATCCTAAAAAATGCACTCAATATCTGCCTCACAATGCAAAAATTTGAAGTCACGAAAACTCAAATGCTAATCGAACAAAACAAGCTAACAATATATGTATCAAACCACAGACAGTTAATAGTGACAAGATCAAATTAATAAACATTAATTACAGAAATGTGCAAAAAAAAAAATTACCACATCTTCAACTTCAGATATTTCTGACCCAGTGGGTGCAGAAGGTGCATCAAAAATGCTCCTTTCCTGTACAATCTCAGGCTGAGCAGTCCCCCTCTGAAGAGAACCTTCAAGTAACTTAACCTTGGTTGACAATTCATCCACAACCTTTTGGCTTCCAAGCAACTTGGTACCAAGTTCCTGTGCTTTGGATTTTGAATTTTCGGCCTCCAACAACAGGGCACTAACCTGCTTTTCTAAAACAGGCAAAAGTGCTTTCACACCAACAGAATTTTGGCCTCCAATAAACTCTTTACCTCCCAACACAACAATAATCTTTTCCAAACCAATTGTAACCTCAGACAGCTCTATTTTCATCTCTTCCAAGTCTGGCATATTTCTAACATGTGTCCCAATTTCTTCTTTCAGATGCTCAATGTCAAATATCTGTCTTGAAAGTGTAGACTGTAGTTCTTCCTTCTCATAAGATAACAAATTTATTTGATTCTGGAAATCAGTGAAACTATCAATAACAGAGAATAGTTTCTTAACATCAACTGAGCTGTGTGGCTCCAGGTCTTCTGACTCTTCAATAGGAACTTCAATCCCACTTAGCTTGTCCAATAGTGTTCTTACTTGAGATGCTGACAAGAGAGGCTCTTCAGCTTCTGCAACAATTGAAAAATAACTTCATAAAGAGTACTAGAAATTAACAATCAAAAGCACAAGATTAACAAAGTGAGAGGGGAGACGTTTACCTTTTTCTTTCGTCAACAAATTATTGTACAATGACAAAAGTTCTGCCTCTTTTTCTTTCCATCTGTCCTCTTTGGCTTGATAATCCTCTACCTTAAGCCTCCCTTCTCTGCATGAATCTTCCAATACTTCTATCTCACTCTCCAACTTGAAAACCCTATTTTGATATACATCTCTTTCTTCAATGGCTTTCTCCTTGGCTCTTCTGGCATCTTCCAATTCTTTCTGCAAATCATGAATGACAGTGGCCACTGCTTTACTTGTAGTTTCGAAAAACTTCACCACACCCTGAACTTTTCTAGTAGCAGTCAACAATTTCTCTGCTGTCTGAGCATATCTGTTGCCACTATAGCCTTGCTGAGCCATGTCATCTCCAACAAATTCTCCTGCTTCTGGATGCAAACCATGGTTCAATTTTTCAAGCCCAGCTACAGAGCTGAGTTCAATAAGATTGTTCTTGACTTCAAACTGCAGGTCTCCAGTTGCATCTGCACATGCAGAGAGTAAAATTGAAACATCATTCTGTAACATGCCTAAAGCCTTCTCCTTTTCTTGTTCACGCATTTCCAGGATTTTGACATTTTGTTTCAAGGATTCCATGCTCTCAACCATACTTTTTACCTCATCCTTTGTGCCCTGCAATTTTTTTAACAGGGCTGCTATTGACTCATCTAGGAAGGTTGAAAAACCTTCAAACCTATCAGCAAGGATTTTGTTTCGCAACTGGAACCCTTCTGCAACCCTTCTAAAACATGAAGAAACATCACCAGCATTTATTGCATTTATTTCATCATTCTCCATTTCAAAGTTCACGGTATTATCAATAACATCAGAGAAACGTCTTGCTAGATTAGCAATATCCTGTGATAAATGAAAAGAGACTATTAAAAAATAAATAAATTCTTCACTCATTCAGGAAGTTGAGGAAAGAAAGTGATTCAATGTCCACAAGACAATAAGTAAAAGAAAAAGGAAAGTTCGGCATCACCTCCATGAATGGATAACCTTGAACCAGTTCCAAATCCTTGTCAAACAAATGCTCCCTTGTGTTTTTAATGGTAAGATCCAAATCTTTAAGGCGCTCCAAGTTCCTTTCAAAGCATTGTTTCATTGTAGACAACAAACTTTGGTCTTTGGAAAGCATTTGAAGATTATTGAGATGACCAATCAAGTCTATGGATCTGCTTGCTAAGCTGCCACTGCTTCCAGCCAACTCTTCCATGCATGCATTCAGTTTGGAATTAAGAGTCGATATCTCCAGATCAGCAGTTCTTTTTTCGCCTTGAAGCACAGAAAAGTCATTTTCAGCCTTAGCCGACGCATCTTCTAGCAATTTTATGGTTGTGCCAGCATCTGCCAGCTTGCCAACCTGGGTCTCAATTTCATCTTTTAGTTTCTTCAGCTCATTCTCCAAGTTGGTTATTTCCACTTGTGCATTGTTCCTTTGTTCAGTTAGTGAAGCAACAGTCGTCTCTGCCTGAGAAAGTGCATTTTCTAGTGACTTTATAGTGTTATATGCCTCTGTGAGTCTGCTGGTCTGAATAGCAACTTCTTCTCTCACTTTCTCCACTTCCATCGCTGCAGCAGCTCTGCTACCTTGAACCCCCTCTTTCTCACTGATAAGTAATGATATTTTATTTTCTGCCACTGACAATGCCTCTTCAAGTGACTTTCTAGCCTCACAAGTCTCAGCAAACTTGTTAGTTTGTGAATGAGCTTCTTCAATTGCTTTCTGCAACTCTATTTCTATATTTTTTTTACCAAATTCCATCTCCCTTTTCTCTTCAGCAAGTTGAGACAAATCATTCTCTGCAACAACCAATCTGTCTTCCAGTAATTTCATTGTTTCTTGGGCTTCTGCTAACTTGACAGCCAGGTTACTAGCCTCTTCCTTTACTTCCCTCAATTCTTGATCAGTCTGTGTCTTTGCAGTCTGACAATTATCAATATACCGAGCAAGCAAGTTCAGCTTCTCTACAGGCTCTTGATATGCTGAATCAACTGGAATAACAATGCAATCAATCGATTCAACTACTCTCTGCAATATGCTATTGCTCTCAAGTAAGAATTTCTCAAGTTGATCCCTTTCCTCTTTCATAGCTGCCAGGTCACTTTCCAACTTTGGGATGCGCTCTAAATCAGTAGACAAAGTACTGATCTGATACCTGCCCTCTGCAACTTTAGATTGTTGCTGTTGTAACTCAAGCCTCAGCTTCTCAATTTCAGAGTTCTTTTCCTCAATAAGAAGTTTCAAGTTTTCCCGATCTTGAACCAAACCCTTTCCTTTCTTAACTGCCATTGACAACTTCTCCCTCAACAGACCAGATTTCTCCTCTGATCGTTCAAGATCTTTTTGCAGAACATCTTTCTCCTCTTTCAGTGCAAAGAGTTCCTCAGAAGTTACTCTGAACTGATTTGACAGATCACTGAACTGTGACTTCACCAGCATATCTTCTTCTAGTATGTCCTTAGAAAGCACCAACTCAAGATCCCTAACATACAAGAGACTTTGAAGTTTTTCAAATAGTTCAGCATCCATAATCTCCAAAGTTGCACTCTTTTGTTCTTTTATTTTCCCAAAGCACCTATCTATTAGCATGGGTAAATTAGAAGTCTCTTCAATCCCTTCTTGATCCCTCATCATTATTCCAGAACCCTCTACCAACATCCTTAACATCTGATCTTTCTCTGATGAAAGTTGATGGACCTTCTCAACTACTTTTTCATATTTACTTGTGACGTCGTCCAACTCTTTTTTAATATAATCTTTCTCTGTTAGTTCTGCTGCAAGTGAAGCACTTAAATGATCCTTGTCCGATGATATCTGACGTGCCTTGCTAACAATTTCCTCATATTTACTTCCGAGGTGATCTAACTCTTCCTTAATGTAATCCTTCTCTTGTTGTACAGATGAAAGTGAAGCACTCAAGTGATCAATCTCATTACGTGAAGCTTCCTTTGTTCTAGCAATTTCATTTTGCAACATATTTATTTCATCTTTAGCCTGGTAAAAAGATTCCTTAAGCCAAACCAAGCGAGAATCTAAATCAGAAAAGGAGATATTTTCTGGTAAATCAATTGCACAAATGGTACCTTTCAATCTGTAGAAGTCCAAAGAAACACCCTTCAGTTCATTTCTTTCATTAGCAAGCCATCTAGCTCTTCCAACAATATCCACTGATTGGAGTTCCTCAGGTACATCAATCAGGGATAGGATGCGTTCAAATGTCTCAAGAATCAAGGTCTTTTGCGATAGTGATTCTTGCAATGATGCAACCAAATTTTCACTATTCACCAACTCTTCCTTGTGTAATGCTAGGGCACTAGACTTCTCTTGCAATTCAATCAGACATTGCTCAAGCTCACTTGTTTTACCAACCAGAGACTGCTTCAAGGTGTCGTGCTGCTGAACCAATGCCTTACCTTTCGTCACAGCCATACTTAGCTTTTCCTTAGTATTAGCACACCTCACCTTTTCTTGCTCAACCTCTGTCTTTGTTTTTCCAAGCTCGGAATTTAGCATCTCCACTGTCGCTTTCTCACTTTCAACTTGTTCAAGCAATTTACTATTTTCATCCTCCAGAAGACCTATTTTTTCAACCAGCTCTTCTTCCTTTCTCCTCAACTCAAATAACTCATCACGGGCAGCAACAAATACAGTCCTAAACTCCTGCACACCAAAATGGCACTCAGCCTTTGCCAAACACTGCCTAAGTTGGTTAACTTCAAAAAGAAACTGGTTATACTTCTCAATTAATGCTGACGTTTTTTTCTCAACAAGGTCAATCTTTTCCCCACCAGAATCACCGAACAAATCTCCTTGATCAACAACTAACCCAAGAGCAGCCAAAATTCTCTCCAGTGCCAATCTCACATTGCTGGTTCTTCTGTACATAAACCTCCTTCTCTGCTTCTGCTATGATCTCATAACCTCGCATTCAGCCCTTCAATCTCTTTATCCTTCATATTAATCTCCTTGTCAAGCACCTCCATCTCTTCCTGCACACACTACAAACCTAAGTAACATTTTAAAATATAAAAATCATTGACCAATACATTAATCTTCAATGCAAAATATCACATAAATGTATCTACTAAACCTGTATCTGATTTCGAGTTTCTCCTTTTCGTCAACTGCCTGCTCCAGCAAAGCACGCAGCCGTTCCATTTCATTGGCAAGTGATTGTTATCATTATCTTCATTATTGTATGCACCATTATCCATTTCATCAAACTTTCCAATGACGGCATTCGGTTTTCTCCTAAAACGACATCGTTTTACGTCTAGCTGCATTCCAGTCTCCTTATTATCATTTATTCATCTCATCAGAAGCATCCATAAACATATCTTCTTTGCTATCAACATGAGACAACTTAATAGATTCCGCTTCCTAAATTGATTAAAAAAAATCATAATTAAAAAATAAATATCAAATTATAGATTTTCCCTATCAACAATGAAAAAAAAAAAACCGAGATTGCAATTAAAAAAAACCTGATTAGTGGAAGACCGAGGGTAAATTGGTCCATTATCAACAGCTCCAGAATTCACCGAATAGTGATTTTCAGACATTTCTACTGATCATATAAATTCATAACAATTAGAGACAGTTCCTTCTTCAATGACAAGAATCAGATCTGGAAGAAAAATCCAACGCGAAAGATTTAAAAATTAATAAATAAAAAACCTTACAAAATAAGGCGGATTAATGGATTTGACTTGAATTGAAATCCTACGGTGGATTGATGAGCTGATGAGATTCTGATTCAGCTTGTATTCAAAGGAGAAATTGAAGATTGCGCACAGCTGCGTAGTACTATTTCTTTTTTTTTTTTATTTATTTAGTAATTTTTTTTGTGCTTTTGTTTTAATTTTTGCGTTATTGTGTCGACTTCATTGATGCGTGTGAAGAAGTTCGCTCCAATCGGATGCGATCGATGGTTTGTCACGATGTCAAAGAGTTCTTTTAATAATTCAATTGTAGTTATAGAAGAGCAATGTGATAAAGCATGAATTGGGTTTTGTTCTTTTATAAAATTTACATTTGATTCATTGGATATTAAAATATTATTTTATATTTTCAATTAATTTGTGAATTAATTTCATTTATTAATTAAAATATTTTAAATTTTTAAAATTATTAATTAAATTTTATTATTACAAATAAAATAAAATTTATATTAAAATATCTAGTAACAATTAAACATTAATTTATAATAAAATATTTATGTAATCAATATATAAAAAAATTACTTTGGATTCAAAAGAAAATTTTTTGGAACATAGTTGATTCCCACTTTTGAATCTATGTGATTCTAAAAATAATAATTAATATAAGAGATTTACTCAAGTTAAAAAAAAAAAAAACCTACTTAATTTATAAAATAATAAAATATAATCTAAAAATTCTTGAATTGAAAAATATTTATTGGCTAAGCAAAACTTATTATCATTACTTTCACGATAAATAATATTTTATAGTTTAAAAAAGATAAATATTTAAAAATTTAAATATAGTAGCAATAATTATTCTCTTTACTCTATTTTTGTTTCTCACTTTCATTTAATAAAATATTATAATAAATATAACCTTGCATGTTAAAAATTATTATCGAGAAGTTTCATATGTCCAAAAAATAAGTAATAGGATTAATGACTAGCCAATTGTTTGACACCTAAATAGGATCTTTGCATAGAGCAAGATTTTTCACAAAATTAAACTCAATGCATAATACAAAAAGTCTAACGAATAAAATACATATATATTGTCTATAAATGGTGTAAAACCAATTTTCTTTATTTCATAATTTTTTCTTGGCATAACAAAAAAATATATACCTCCAAATTTTGTTTTATTATTTGAAAACTATGATCTTGATATAAAAAATAATTAAAAAATGTGAAGCAAATAAAAAAATAGTTAAAATTAAACAATAATGTTAGAAAATAAAATTAACTCAAAAAAGAATTGACATACCTTAACTTAATTGTAATATTGACCAAACCATTAAAAAAATATTAAGAAATTTGCATTAAAAAATTTTGAAAAAAAAATACTTGTAGGATTATTGGATGTGAAAAATACATACTTTATATTTAACATGTAGTCAATGCAAGTTCAGATTTTGAAAGTATAAAGGATATAATAAGTTATTTTAATTTGTTTGAATTTTTTTAAAGAAACCAAATATTAAAAGATTATGAGAAAACCTATGGAGATATTGAAATTTTCAAATTTGAAAAAAATATATGTATATTATTGAAAAATTTTATTTTAAAAGAAATATATCTAAATTATATTTAATTTGTATGCTTTATATATAATTAATCCAAGTATTTAAAGTAATATACATAGAAAGAGTCAAAAAGTTAGTAAAACTATAATGATTTAATCAAAAAATATTTATATGTAAAACTTAGCATTTGAATTTTTTATTTGATATATATTTATTATAAGAGTTAGTCGAGATTTTTTGCGATTTAAATTAAGTAAACATTTATATAAAATTGAAATATTAGATAAACCTAATTTTTAATATTTTAAAATTATTTGTTAAATAATTAAAATTAAAAAATTATCTTATGTATAGATTGCACATATAAGTAATCATGCAAAAATGCTTATTTGGTCATATATTTTAAATTATCTTATGTGTCATCAAATTATATTATACACATAGGGATTACAAATGAGCAAATCTTATAATGTATTCTTATATGTTGTAATACAATATTATATATGAATATGATTGATTTTTCATTTAAATTTTGATAAACTTTAATTCATAAATATATTTAAATAATAATTTTTTCTATAAATAATATCTAATTAGATAATAATATTTAAATTTGGGTGTTTTATACCTTTATCCTCCAACAGAATTAAATAATTACTTGATAACTCTGGACTTAAAAAAATCCATCAAAGTGACCAATATAACTTATTAAAGTTTAAAAGTTATCTAATATGAATTTTTTTTCTTACAGGTACCAGAGTACGCTTCATTCTTCTAGCATCTTTTAACTACATCAAATTTTATTAAAAGATCCGTCAATTATTTTATTCTTATTTCACCCCAATATTTCCAAATTTCAATTGAAATTCCATTTGATCCTACAATTTTTTTTACTTTCATTATTTTCAAAACCTCTTTAATCTTATACATTTTGATATTCAGTTTTAACATACTATTTATATTCTTAAAAGTGCACTATGATTTCATCTGTATAAATAAATAAAACAAATTTATTGAGTTTATTTTCTTATTTGTTTTTAAATATTAATAAAAAAGATATTAGCTTAAGTGATTTCTAATTAAATTTATTATGATTTGAGAAATAAAAAAAAAAGAAATGTTATAATTGATTTGAAAATAAAGAATTTACCTATGGAGTGAATAGTATGTTAGTAAATAGTACCTATCATCATAAAAAGTATTTTAGTTCATATAGCAAGAATAAACTAATAAAAAGAGATACTAAATTAATAGTAATGAAAATACGTTTAGCTCATATATTTTATAAAATATTGGGAACCTATATAACTAAAAACTAACAATAATGAGGGTTTTTTTTTAAGTTGTTTTGATATTTATATATATATTTCATATTTTTTAAAAATATTAATATTAAAAGTTTATAACAAATATTGATTTAAATTTAAATTTTATTTAAATTCAGATATATCTAAATTTATTTTTTAAAGCTGGTGGATTGTTTGTTAAAATTATCTTTATCTACAACTAATATATTACAAAACTGGAGATAATATATAGATTATTTATAAAAAAAATTAAAAAAATTAAATAATATTTTTAAAATTTTTGATATATTTAAATAATCATATTAAGTTTAGATAAATTAAAAAAGATAAATTACTTTGAAATTGATTTTAAATTGAGAAGATGTGATACATAGGATAAAATAATTTCATTAGAATTTAATTGGTTTTTTATTAAATTTTAGATAATTTAATAATTTTTAAAATATATTTTTATAAATAATTTAAAATTAATAAATATCTTATATGTCATCATAATAAAAAGTTTTAAAAATTATCTTACTTGTAAAAAAAAAAAAAAAAAACTGTCCACGTAAATATCCATGTCAACAAATGTTATAATTATGTATGTTGTATAATATATATATATATATATATATACATATACGATTCGATTTAATTTATGTATATATATAATTATAAATTATTTATTTGAATTTAATTTAATAATTTTTATTTAATATAATATTAATAACAAATTTTAATATACATTATATCTTAATTATATAAAATGTAATATATTTATTAAATTAATATCTTAAATTAAGTATTAAATGATAATTTTATTAATGTAATACATATATATATAAATATAAATATAAAATTAAAATAGATAATTAAAAATATTTATATATATACCGAGTTGAGGTGAAATAAATTTACTTAAAAACTTATTCCAATTCAATCTCGATAATTAAAAAAAAAAAAAAAAAAAAACTCTATAGAGATGGATTGAAACCTAACGATTACAAATAAGTTTACAATTCTTATATGTGATAGTGAAAAATTACGATAAAAAATGAAAAAAAAAAATTTATCATGTTTTAATAAAGGAAATCCTTAAACGAATACTGAAAGGGTAATTGTTTGTATTTTCTTTGGAGCAAAGTTATGCTAAATCGGTGCAATTATAGAAATAAAAATTGGAAGAAATTTCACCTAAAAAAAAAGTTGAACAAAATAAGAACTAAATTTATTTTCTTTTCTTAATTAAGGAGTACAATTTTAAATGTGAGTGTTTAATTTATGGAATCGGAACTATTTTATTTTTTATGAAAGATATTTAATTAAAATATATATTTACATCACATCATATATATATATATATATTTTATATTACAATATACATAGTTATCAAATAATAATTACTGACGTGAACGTTTACGTGAACAATTTTTTTTTGACACATAAAATAATTCATAAAATTTCTCATTATGACGACATATAAGATATTTATTAATTTTAAATTATTTATAAAAAATATGTTTTTAAATTTATTAAATTATCTAAAATTTAAAATTTAATAAAAAACTAATTAAAATTTTAATGAAATTTTTTTCTCATGTACATCAACTCATCTCAATTTAAAACCAATTTTAAAATAATTTATCTTTTTCAATTTATGTGGAGTTAACATGAATATTTAAATTTATCAAAAAATTTAAAAATATTATTTAATATCTTTAATATTTTTGATAAATAATTATTGCATTATCTTTAACTTTTAAATATATTTCAAAAAATAAATGAGAAAAATATATAAATGTCGTAACAACTTCAAGTAAGTTTCTCTTATACATCATTTTATCTCAATTTAAAACCAATTTTAAAATAATTGATATTTTTCAATTTATTAGCAATTAACATGAATATTTAAATTTATCACAACTTTTAAAATATTATTTAATATCTTTAATTTTTTTTATAAATAATTCTTACATTATTTTCATCTTTTAAATATATTTCACAAAAAAATGGGTAAATATATATATATATATATATATAAATACCAAAACAACTTTAAAAAAGTTTCTCTTGCATCTCAATTTAAAACTAATTTTAAAGTAATTTAACATTTCAATTTATCTGCACCAATTTTAAAGTAATTTATCATTTTCAATTTATTTGCACTAATTTTAAAGTAATTTATTTTTTTCAATTTATTTGCAGTTAACATGAGGATTTAAATTTATCATAACTTTTAAAAATATTATTTAATATCTTTAATATCTTTTTATAAATAATTCTTACATTATTTTCAGCTTTTAAATATATTTCACAAAAAAATAAATAAAAACAAATATATAAATATCAGAACAACTTCAGCAAAGCTCTCATTGTTGATAATTCTTAGTTATATAGCTTTTCCAACGTCCTAATGAACTAAATATATATTTTTTCAACCATTAATTTATTCTTTCTTTTTATTAGTCTATTATCGCTATAGGATCTAACATGTTTTTTGTGATAATACGTATTATTTCACTAAATATACTATTCACTCCATCATATATGATTTTTTTTTTCAAATCGACTATAATATATATTTTTTAAAAAAATTATAAAAACACATATATTCTTATATTTTTACCTGTGTTATATGCAGATCTTTTATTTTTTAATGAATTTTTCAATCAATCACGTAATATATTTTATCTTTTAACTGATTAATATTCTTCATTTGTATAAAATAAAAATGATGCTTTGATTAATTGATATAATAGAGTTTTGTAATTTAAACAGAAACTTATGTTCCAGTTATACATTTAAAGAGTGAATTATTTCTCAACTCATATCCTCATTGTGAAACATATAACATAATTTCAAATCAAGAGATTATTTTTCATAAAAAATAAAATTAAAAAATAATTCAAGGATAGTCTCATAATTAGTATTAATTTTAAATTTATTTATATCTTAGTTTACAAAAATCTCATAACCATAAAATATTTCACAAAGATTCTTGAAAAAGAAGATATGAATACTATGTAACTTCTTAATTATGAACAAATGATTTTCTATAGCCTTTAGCAGAATTTAAAAAGAAAACCTTATTTTTATTATGATTTGATATTTTAATTATATTATTTATATGTTACATATAGTTTCAATATGTAAATAATTCAATAATATTAATTTATATATTTATTTAAATTTAAATAAAATAAAAAAATTTCATGCACCGCGCACACGGATAGCAAACTAGTTTAGTTATAATTCACAAAATTTATTTAAATTTAATGTTTTTCGGCTAACTTTAAGAAATTACTGCTCCTATTTCCTTGTGGAAAGGAGGCATTCCACTGGGTTTCCTAACACAAACAGAATGGTTCAACAAAAAAAGAAATGGGGAACAACCTCATTTGGCTGGGAAAATTGGGTGTAGATGACTTTTGCTCGGTGTAACAAAAAGGATAATTTAAAACATGATATAGTGATATAATGTGAAAATATTATAAAAAATTATAAATGTGATATAATTTAAAATTTAATAAAAATCATATACAAATTTAACAAAATTAAAAAAATAAAATTTATATTTTTATATAAACACAAATTATAATACATAATTTTAATATAAAATATATAACTAACATATAAATTATTAATATTTTACATAATACGTATACATGGGATGGTCGTATACACAAATGATTAGAGTCATGCAGTGAGTTACAAATATAACCATTGGAATGGTCGTATCTCTAAAGTCCTTACGGTATGCATGCCTTCAAATAAAATCTCGTTATACAATTGTGAAAACGCTTATTATTAACTTAGAAATTATTTTTTGTTTGTCAGATACAGTGTTGGGTGCAAACTCCGTTGTGGTTTCAAGGGCAACCAACCGGTGGGATGGGATGCTGGCCACTAGAGAAGTTTTCGAGTCTCCAATATGCCAAGGATGAAATGGGTTGTTCAGTAGTTACCAGCAAAGCCGTCCGTAATGGCCCACAATGAGCTGCTCTGGACCAGAAGGCATTGGAAGAATTTTACTTCAGAGAAGTCTGGTTCCAAATTACACAATTCGTATATGTTGATTATTTTAACACATACAAAACAATTATGGGAAACCTTGCAGGGTTTGGGTTTTCAGATGGATCCCAGGCATGCTGTGTCGTTGGAGGTGGATTTTTCAACTTTAACTTGCACAGTTTCTGTGGTATGATTAGCACCAATACCTGCAGCAACCCATCTGGTCAGGTCCACTGGGATGAGCTTCATCTCACAGAAGCAATACATCGACAAATAACTTGGCAAAGACAACCAAATGGTACCGTTTTCAACTTTCAACAGATTGATTAAGTGCATTTGACAACATGCTGAGAAACCCATTAAGGTTAAAAAGAAGTGAATGGCGTCAACTTCAGCAGAAACAATTTTCTTAAAAAGAAATTTTGTAATGTCTGAATCTTTCTCTAATCGAGGCCATTCTTTCCTCAATGACCTTCATTCATCTTTTATCTACAGTCTGATCCTTTTGTTTCTTTTCGAACCATTACGATATTGTATAGCCTGTATATCATTTAAGACTGAACATGCAAACTCACAATACAAACCATCTGTTTACGCAACCTTCTTCAACCAGTCACTTTGTTGTAGCACTTTCAAAAAAGCATAAGAGGAAATGGCAGACTCAATTTTCAGAAATTACAACTTCCATAATAAATAATAGGGTTCTTACCACTAATGTTCATAACTCCGAAAAGCTAAAATGGGACTGCTTCTTATCAGTAAGAAGCAGGAAATTTTCTTACCGGACTCTAATTACCTTTGGTGGTCGGCCTTTCCATCTGCACACTATTTAAAAGAAACTTCAAATCAAATTAGGTAATTCTGTTTGGAAGTTTGATGTAGATGTAAAGAAACGCAAACAAGTCTCCTTGACACAGTCTCATTGTCGACCCACATCATCATTACAAGTAAGTACCCATAAATCTTCAGAGTTAACTCTTTTCCTGCTCCCACGGCAAAATGGACAGGACTCTGATTTTGTGTTCCTATAATTTGAAAAGAAAAACCATTAAGGGTGAAACTTGAAAACATGGGGTGTAAGAGGAATGGCATGAGGTTTCCAGTTACCAATTGCGGTAGCATCTGATGCACATTGCATGACAACAATTAGGCACGACCATTTTGGTGCAAGGCTCCAAGCAAATCCCACATTCATCTTCCCTCTCCAAATCAATATTCCCAAGTCTATCATCTAATTCAACTCTTTTCTTGCCAGAACTCCCCATGGTAAAATGCCCTTCCTTATCATCATCCAACAACCCCAAGTTACCATGGAGCCTTTGAAGTGATGGTAATATAACACCTACAATTTAGTTAATTAACAGAAAGGGATAATGGTAAGGTGAATGAATCATTATAGCCGAAATTCATGGCGTCATATAAACAAGAAAAAAAAAACACTCAAAATATTATTACATGCATACCATAAAACTCTCTAATTGTTGCCTTCCTTCCATGTGTAGATATCTTCGATCTCCCGTCCGTATATACCTGTAGCAAATAAGATAGAAATGAACAAATGGCACATAGAAATATGTATGTAAATAAATGTGAACCATCCTTTAAGAATCAAAATAAGTGAAGGAAGACAAACGAACCTTGTATACAAGTATGTGAAAGAGGTTTCGAAATCTAGGGAGTAGACATATGCAGGAAGAATCCATCCATTGTAGCAAAAATAGAAAGAGGGGCGTCAAATGATTGTACACCAATTTCATTTGAAGATGTGCACCACTGTTGGCTCTTGGTATTGCAGCAGCCCTAAAGCCCCAAAATTTTATTAAATTTTGCTTAGAAGAATTAAAATGAAGACATCTAAATTACATTCTAACCTAATCATCCAAGCATCATAATAACCTAAAGTTAGACCAAAGAATAAAGCCAAACTTCCCAACTTCTTTTGTTTTTGATGAAAAATTCTATCATAAACGTGCTAATTTTTTTTTATATATAAAGGAGGCCACAGCCTGAGGATAAAGTAAGGTATTGCAAGTGCTGGGATTTGAAGCCAAACCTACTGGATAGCAAGTGGTTGCATCACTAAGCTCCGGGTTGATAAGCATGCAAATATTAATAGACCATTAAATTACTGAAATTTACTTCAGTTCCTATCAGGTAAAGAAACATCAAACTACCAACAAGTCCAACAAATAGGCAGACAGAGATTTTAGCTGGTATAAAAATTGCCAGCCAACAATCTACAATTCTAGACTATTTGCTAAAAAATCCGCAACTGGTTATGCCTTCCTACAAAGTCCTAGTCAGAGCACAATTATATCATCAGATCAGGCCAACCAAGTTTATGATAAAGAGTAAAGAACAACATAACATTCCAAACTGGGTAATTTTCCTTTTTCTTTCGAAACTAGCAGAGCAGCAAAAGAATTAAGCTTTTTTATCATGATCATGAAAAGCACCCCAACCAACTAATAAACACAAACAACAAGACCAAGTCAACAACCTACTTAAGGAATGGTGAAGGGAAAAAAAAATCAAAATAATAAATTTGCCAGAAAACTAAAACCCCAGAAAGGAAAACTTACAAAGCATTTGCATGTTGTATATCAGCCTCTAGTATTTTCAAAGAGTCTTGATAAGAACACTTGGACAACTGATAATACATCATCCCCATCTCTTTCGCTCTTTCTCTTAACAAAAAAGGAAAAAACAGAGAAACAAAGAAACCTTGTCAGGGTATAAGAATCTACAAAGATGAGCAACAGGGTCTTTCTTTTTTGAGAACCTTATCCTCCCCCAAAGACTACAAAGAACAAGAAAAAAAAGGGTCTTTTTCTTCTCTCCTGCCCTTACCCTTCTCTTCGCATCCTTTTTGTGATTCGAAGGAGGCTCCAGTGAATAAAAAATATTGTAGTAATAATTATTCAACATGAAAATAAAAAGACTAATCCTTTTCTTTGGGTTTGGTTTTGTTCCTTAAATTTTTATGATTAAAGAAAAGAGTGAAGAATACGGTATAAAAAAATGCGTTTATTTCAATGTCTTACTTATTTCTCTTGTTCTTGTCTTAACCTTTGTGTTTTTTTTTTTTAATTCTTATTTTAGTAATAACATAATCAGATTACAGTTAATATGATAATTTTTTTAATATAAGGTCATAATTATAACCATAGTATCAAAATTTTATTTTTATATAAAAATTTTAAATACAAAACAAAATGATAAAAAAATAAAATGTCACATTTAAAATTTTAAAAAATTATTTTTGAAAAAATGAAAAATAAATTATATATTTTTATATGTTAATTTTAATGTTTTACATATATTTAATATGAAATAAATATAATACGAAGATATGAATTATAAATTTAATTTTATATATTATTTTAGAGTTTTATAATATAATAATTTCATTATTCAACAAAAAGCAATAATCAAAAGGTTTGTTTGAATTTCCAAAACCCTTGATTGAATATTTTATTGAAGCAAAAAAGGGTTGGCTATGTTTAATTTTAAACAATTGTTGTGACAGTTAGATTTCTGTTTCAAAGAAATCTAAAAAATCCAAAATCTATTGTCAAAATTATATTTTGTTTGAACAATGAATTTAAAAATCGAAAAGAAATAGAGTATTTGTTTATTATATCCTACAAAAATAATTTATCTTCAGTAAATATGTTAATTTAATGAAAAAAATATGTAATTAGTGTGTAATTATTAACATTATCATCTGTTTGTCAATGTTTTTGCTTTATACCAAAGTTTTAAAAAAGGACAAATCAGAAAATTCACTCAAGGTAATTTATATTCGATGGTACTAATAATTATATGAATGTATGACAAATCCTGTTTGTGCTTTTAACACAATCATCATTTCCACGTGGTTCTTTGCAGTTTTGACATTATAACTTTCCCATTCTCTACATTAGCAGTGAGTTTTGTGAATAGAAATAAGAACGGGGTGGACATGCGCTAGTTTTAAAATATTTGAATTTATTTAAATTTAATATTATTATTTAAATTTAAATTCATTTAAATAAGTATTATCTGTAAAAATATTTCAATTTATTAAAGTATTTGTTTATTTAATTTTTTGTTAAAAATAAAATAAATAAAATTTTAATTTAAAATTTAGACACACTCTTAATTAGTAATAAAAAATATTTTTTAAAGTTTTAAAATTTTCACAAATATAAAATTAAATATTTTATATATAATGAGTTACGGATTCAAATACGAATTCAGATATCCATTTATTTTCATTAAAACTTAAATGGATTGAAATATTAGATATCTAAAGGATACTAACTGAATTCATTCTAAATTTGTTATGAATAATAAATTTTTATTCAAATATATTAATTTAAAATTTTTTTATAAAATTTAAAAATTTTTTAAAAATTCTTAAAAAATTTAAAAAATAAAAAATCTTATAAAATTTGCAAAAAAAAATTTTAAATATAAAAAATTTTAAAATTCTAAAAAAATTTCAAAAAATTCTAAAAACTTTTAAAAAATAAAAAATATATAAAATACTAAAAATTATAGAAAATTTTTAAAAATAAAAAAAGAAGTAAGGAAACTTAAAAATTTTCAAAAAACTTCCAGATTTCAAAATAATCCAAAAAATTTAAAAGAAAAAAATGACTGTTTTAATAAAATTTAAAAATTTGTTAAAATTAAAAAAAAACTAAAATAAAAAATTAATTTTTTTTTAATACAATAATTTTTTTAAAAAATTTTAAAAATTCTAAAATTTTTACATATATTTTAATCTTACAATTTCAATTTTTTATATATATTTTTAATTTTTAAATTTTTTGAAAAATTTTCGCTTTTTATTAAATTTTTTGCATTTTAATTTTTTTAGATTTTAAACAATGTTTCAAAATTTTGAAATTATTGAATTGTTCAAAAAATTTTAAAAGTATTTACATTTTTCCTTATTTTAAGTTTTTTAAGTTTTTGTATTTTTTTAAACTTTAAGAAAATTTAATTTTTGTAAATTTTAATTTTTTTAAACTTTTTTTATTTTTTTAAATTTCAAAATTTTTAAAATTTTGATAATTTTGATAATTTATAAAATATTTCATATTTTTTATTTTTTATAAATTTTAAAATTTTTTATTATTTTTTAAAAATTTCTAGAATTTTTTAGAATTGTTTAGAATTTTTAAGAATTTTTCAAAATTTTTGAGAAACTGTAAAAAAATTTGCATATTAAAAAATATTTTAAGAATTTTTTATAAAAATTTTCAGTATTTTTTATAATTTTTTAAATTAAATTTTTTTATAAATTTTAAAATTTTTTATATTTATTTTGAATTTTTATATGTTTTAAATTTTTTTTGAAGTTTTTAAAATTTTTAGAATTTTAAAAAAATTATATTTTTTAATAAAATTTTTAATATTCTTTTAAGAATTTTTTAAATTTTATAGATTTTTTTGAATTTGTTTTATAATTTTTAAAAAAATTTTATATTTTTTAGAAAATTTTTTATGAAATTTTCATTTAAATATGACGTTGGTATAATGTGAAATTAATGATGTGACGTTGATTGAATTTTTTAGACACGTGTTAGTATTTTATTGGATGTTAATTTTGCGTTAACAAAGTTAACTAACGATATTAGTAAGAGGTATCAACATGATAACGATTTGAAAGTTCAAGTATTAATATGTCAAAAAAAATTTTAGATACTAATGTGACAAAAATTACAAAATTCAAAAACCAAATATGGATTTAACCTAAAAAAAATGTGTGAAAGAAAAACTTTTTTTATAAAAAACTAAAGGGAGAAAAAGTGAATGAATATACAAACTTTTTTTCTTTCAAATGCAATCTTTATAAATATAAAAAAAAATCATTCAATTTAAATTAATAAATTTTTTTATAATTTTATTCTTAATCCCTTTTTTTATTTTCTATTATTCATATTAAATATAATAAAATATAATTGGATTGTTTTTAAAATTTAATAATTTTATATTCATTGGTTTAAAATTTAAATAATTCAAGTGTCAAAATTAAATGATCCAAATATAAAATAAATCAAATTAAAAAAAAATGAAATCTAAAGTGATCAAAACTTGAACAATTCAAATTTTCTTCAAATTAAAATGATTAGAGTCAAAATGGTTCAATCTGACTTGTATAATTATCACTTCTAATAGAGAATTACCCTAATCAATATGATCAATTTATTAAAGGTAAAAAAATTAGCAAGCCTGCCCCATGTTGCATGGAGTTGTCTTCGGTTTGGCAAAATTATCCACCCTCTGCGGATAGCCAATTAGCGTAAACTAACCTAATGGACCATGCAATAATTAAAAGCAACCTAAATTATTATATGTATCCCGCTTATTAAATTAAATAGGCTTTTAGAGTTTAGGATATAGGGATTAAAATTTAAGATTTAAAATTAAAGTTTTTTTTTTTTTTTTTTTCATGTAAAAGAACATTAAGACTTGACCTAAATTTTATTGTCCCGCCTGCTTCTAATAGGAGGAGAAATAATTCATCAGTTCACTGAATTTGGATTTTTCAGTGTAAAATTAAAACAAAAGATATTTTTTAATTATTTAATTGGCTTTTAATTATTTAATTTTATAGTTATTTTTATTTTTGTATCTAAACATATATCTTATTATTAATTTTTGATTAAAATGTAAAAAAAATACCTCTAAATTATAATTAAAAAATCATCTAAGGCTTCATTTTTTATTGCAATCAATTAATCCACCTAACATTTATTTGTATTCAATTAAATTCTTATTTGAAAGAAAAAGTTAATACCATTAATTTTTGTTGCCAATTAAAATAAAATTTCATGTAATATTAATAAAATAAATTAAAATTTACCACATGACGTAATTAATGTATGAGAAAATCAAATAAAATAACTTTTCTTTTCTTTTCTATTTCTCTGTCTCTTTTTCTAAGATTAATCTAAAGGCTCAATTGATTATAATTCGAGTGTTGATTGATTTAATTTTGCTCTGTAACTAGATTTTGTTCATTTAAGAGTTTAATTGAATCGAAATAAAAGCTTAAAGTTTAAATTAATTACAATAAAATGTTAGGAGTTTAAATGATTATTGAATTATAATTCAAATTTTTTTTAATCTTTAACTTTGTTTTTAATCTCAACTATAATAATTAATTTTATCGTCATTACTATTTTAATTTATCAAAAGTTATAACAAATACTAATTTTTCATTATAAAAAAAGTGAAAATAAAAAGAAAAGAAGATGTCAAAGAAAAAAACAGGAAAAAGGCAAAGGGTCTCCAGCTAAATTATACAAAGATAACATAGTAGGGGTAACAACAATTCATATTGGATCGCGATTTTTTAAAGAATACATAAAATTATAGATTTTTAAAATTGGAATTGAATTTTTATCTAATTTAATCTAAACCAAATTTTATCGGTTTCATTTATTGATTTTTAAATTTAAATTTTATATATTATTTTAATATAATTTTTAATATATTTAAATAAATTTAAATATAAAATAAATAATTTTATTTTATAAAAATTTAAAAATATATAAAAGCTAACAAAATAGATAATTAGGTTTATTTTGATTTTTTTTAATTTTTAGTTTTTCATTCAAAATTCAGTCCAAATTTAATATATATATATATATTTAATATGAATCAAATAAAAAATTCGATCAAATTAGATCAAATATTATAATTTTAAATCAATTTTTATTTTATTTTTTTCATCCTGACCAACAGCCGAACTGATTGACTGCAAAGTCGGTCCCTTAGAAAGGCCCTACGCGCCAAGCACATAGCATTCGACCCATCACCTTAAAAAAAGGTACATGCAAGAAATTAAATCTAGTTATATCACCTCATAAAAATGAGGAAACACCAAAAAAAAAAAAAGGTTTAATAATAGGAAGAAAAATATGCCTCTCAAACTAGTGTAACTTCTTCAGCTCTTCATTAGGAAACCAATGCTATCATTTATTTATGGATGACCCATAGGCCAACTGATTAGATGAAATGCCTCCGGGTTGAAATCATTGCAGCCAGGGCCCCCAAACCCTTCCTCTTAATGAACCTCTCTATAGTCTCAAATGGGTAGATAAAACCATTCTATCATCTATATATATCAGTAAGTCATTTTCATATATCAGAGAAATCCAACTATCTAAGAGTGACCCTCATGTGCTGAATGATCAATCATAGTGTAATTTCAGACTTTATTAAGAATTTTTTTTATGTATGAACTCTAGACCAAAGGGCTCTGGCTTTGAACTAAACATGACAGGGTCAGTGAATACCTAAGACCAAAACAAAGGATGGGCCTGCATGATTGAATTCGTTGAACCTGCAATTTTTCTATACCTTTCATCTTGTCTTTTTCAAGATGAGCTATCTTATTTAATCTCTACCAGCTTTATTTCCTTTTTTTTTCTTTTTTCTTTTCCCAATTTAAGTTTGTAATGTTGATTTCAGATAAGAAAATTTTATTAGGAGCTAACCAGTAGGCAAAGTCAGACTTGGGGGTGGATAATGCCAGCACCTAAAGTGCATTGGAGAAAATAATGAAGGCAAAGAAAGAAAAGATGCATTAGATAGAGAAGGTATCCCTTTCTTTTCTTGAAATTTGAAAGGTTTGAACACTAAGCAAGCTTTCTCTCTCTTTCTTTTTAAAAGTCTGCCAACATTAGTCCTGTCCACCAAATTCCATTATTCCTTTAACAAACCAAAAAACCACTCCACCACAAAGGCCAGTCATTTTATCCTTCTTGCTCCCCCTGCTCTTTCCCTTTTTGTCTTTGCTTTTACTCTACTTTTTATCTCATAACACAAAAAGGGGGGAATCAATGTTGCAAAAACAGCCCAACAAATCATCTTTTAGGGAATCTCTCAAAGCTCTTGAAGCTGATATTCAGCATGCTAATAGCCTGTAAATCTGTTTTTGCAAATTGATTGAGTTGCATTTACAAGTTCATAGTCTTTATCCACAATTGGCATATCATGTTTCATAAAGTCGATTTCTTTACTACCAATTTGCATTCTTGCTTTGTCCTGAAATGCTAAAAGCTGTTGTTCTTTCTGCCTTCTGTGTATTCCATTGCCTGCTTAATTCTATTTAGTTATGATGTTTTGGTTGAAGTTTATCATCAAAATGCCAACTTTGCTGAAGTTGGATATCAATTCGGATTTGTGAAGATTGGAATCTTTTATAGACGTTGATATAGGCTAATTTTGTCAATTGTTGATTGTTCCAGCGGAAAGGAAATGATTGCTTTGGCTTTTAGTATCAGTATTTTACATTGAAGAATTTCTTTGTTTATTACTTGTTTTTATAAGGTCTTGACAGTTAGCCATGTAAATTTTGACTGTGGTTTCTTGGGGTGAAATTTGCAGGGCAGCTGCTCTACCAAGAGATTATGGTGGCAATTGTTACCAAATGAGATTATCTTATAGCCCTTTTGCACCCTTCATCCTGTTTTTGATTGAATGGATGGATTTTAGTTGTACAGATACCCTTCCCAGTTGTCTAGGCCTTCTCCATATACTTGTATACAAAGTTAGTATTTATTTTCAGCTTGTTTCTCCATTTTGCAACATTTCAAGCAGAAAAAAGATTAGTTGGATGAGTTTTTCTTTTTCTTTTTCTCAATTGGATTATGAGTTCGTTTTTTAAACAAAGTTCCATAATATTGCCCAGGCATATGCTGATGGAATGCCAGCTCTATCCTCAAAAGATAGAAAAGCAACTCTAAGGGAATTTTATGGTATGTTTTCTCTGGTGTTTCTTGGTAATAGAATTCCTATTTGTTTCTTCAGCTTTCCTTTTACTTCCTCATGTTCCAGTGTACTTATTGGACACTATTTGCAGCTGTTATTTACCCTTTGCTCAGACAACTTGGAGATGAGTTTATTGAATTGGAAGATAATAAGAAAGGCCGATGCACTGAAGTTTCGAGCAGAAAGAGAGTTGAAGATCGCAAGAGGTTCTCTGATAAAGATTTAGAGAGAGATGATGAATGTGGAATATGCATGGAGAATTGCACAAAGATGGTTCTGCCCAACTGCGGGCATGCCTTATGCATAAGCTGCTTCCATGACTGGTATTCCTGGTTCTCCAGTTTGCTATTCATGTTGGTCTTTTTAGATTACTTATGATTAAAAATTTTACTTAACCATGATTTTTTATACTACTATTCATCTTTCTTGTACACTGATCGGAGTTGCAGGAATATCCGTTCTCAATCCTGTCCTTTCTGCCGTGGTAGTTTAAAGAGAGTGAGTTCTAAAGATCTGTGGGTTCTCACAAGTGCCAATGATATAATCGACATGGTTACTCTTGCAAAAGAGAACTTGAGGTGTCTATATCTCTACATCGAAAACCTGCCTTTTGTTATGCCTGAGACACATTCATATGTATCTGATTACATGATCTGACTACGAAATGAAGACTGCAGTCCAACCACTGCAGAAAACCGTCGTCCCTACATTGTACATACAATATGGTATAGGTAAGCCTGAGCTTATCTGATGAACTCTTGAGTCTTGACGGTCTGTTCAATGGCAGCTGTATGTAGTAATTAACTGAGGTGCTGCCTACATGTCACATGGGTTTCAAAACTAGCAAGAAGTTGACTCTGAAGATTTGTGAAATTTGGTATAGAACAGTCTGGATAAAAGCAGAGAGGCAGGGATTACAAACCGGAATATATATTACATGTAGAAGATAACAGATCCAAACTGAAAACAAAAAAGGTATTATTGGCATTCAACTCAGCTTTTTTCGAACCTGAGTGCTGGAATGGAAATATAAAGAGTTTATTATCTCATGGAATCTTCAGTTTCTGCTTACTGTCATCTGATCTACGATATGAATATCATGGATCAAATGAATCTTTCTTGAAACTTGTGCCTCATCGATGAATTCCTATCATAAAATTGCCTGTGACTGGATTATTTTCATAAACGTTTTACCTCAACAATGAATTGCATCCTTAGAAAAGTATTTCTTTTCTTGAATTTGCAGGATTTGAATTTCGTTATCACAAACTAAAAGTTCATACTCTAATAATAGATCATGCAGCCGTTGACAGCAATGTACTTTGATTGCTATATAATTATGAATCCAGGGTTCCAAGTTAAGATTTTCCTGGTGTCAATTTTGTTATACTGAATTAATCAGTAGCTACCTACCCTTTAACAGCAAGCAAAAGATCATTCTTATACTGTAATCCCTGTTGTTCTACACTCTTTTATATTGCCTTTTCTACGTTACTTTGCCTGCATCTTTAAGACACCACAGAAATTTTTTAAAAATTTTATTTTTTACCAAAGAGGCCATAAATTTGAATAAAAAAAGGATCCCTGTAACTTTTCAGGATCTAAATAAATAAGTTTCCTCCTCGAATTTAGTTATAAAGACATCATAATAAGCATTGTCTTATGGTAACTTATTTGCCTTAAAAAAAATTACCAATCTCTAACCTTGCCATTGGTAAGAAACAAGTCAAGCTCAAAGCATGCCAATGCTGGACTTGAATGAGTTCACCAAAGCCATATTTTCACCCATTTTAGAAGAAATATATAGTTTCAAGTAACTAACCAATTTTAAATTAAATTATATTCAATTAATCAATATTTCTTAGAGATTACTGATCAATATTTAGCCTTTAGAGTGTAAAAAACTGTATATCCAACACCCGGATTAATATTATAAAACCAAAAACTCAAATTGATTACTAAAAAATGTTGCCTGCCACTTGCAGGTAAATACCTCCCATTTAGTTTTTGCTCTTTATAGTGCCAAGTTATTTGAAAAAGCACAACCAAGCAACTACAATTAACATTTTTATCGTACATTTTTGGTAGAAAAGAGAGGTTTTTGAGGAAAAACATGTGTGGTCTATTCAACTTTTTTGGATTGTTTAAAAAATGGATGTAAGCAATTGCACTTATATGCTTCTTTCAAATAAGAATAAATAGCTTTATTGCTCTTAAGAATACCATTTTTTTTTTTTAAATTTAATTTTTTGCGCAAGTTGGGGAAGGGGATGCTCATCATTGACTTGATTTTGTATAGCAGGGTCTTGAGTCTCCAAAACGCTCAACTGATTTTGAGATGCATCTTAGGGCCAATTTAGCACACACAACTAACATAGAGCAGAAAACTTATATACAGGCAGGCAGCTAAGGTTCCTTACATTATTGTACGTAGGATTGATGCGGAATTGGCCCAAATGTAAATTCTATCTTCCATCATAACATTACTTTGAATTTCTATAATTATTTAATTACTAAAGGAACCAAAAAAGTCAGTGGCTGCATCCACCCAGCAACTGATCCTCTCCATGTTCACACCTGTATGAAATACTCTATTTGCCAACTGAAGGTTGGATATTTGGCGAAGCATTTTCATGCCTGTTCTTTGGCAATGAGGTCATCGAACAAGCCATCCTGTTATTTTTCCTTAATACATGCTTAGAGCTTTCAGGATCGATGGAAGGCCTCCTTGGAGGTCTAGAGTTTGCATCCTGCACTGTGCTGGGAGGTGGCTTCCTTCCAAAATTTGGTGATTGAGGCCAAGTTGAAGTGATCTGCAAGGCATGATTTACTGTTAAATCTGGAACACAAAAGCTGTAAGCACCTAAGATAATATAGAACATCATCCTTTGCAATTACACCCACTCAAAGGAGAAAGGAATAAAGGAATTTGACACTCAAGGAAGGTTGGGACAGAGTGTAGTCCACCTCTGCACCAGCTGACCATCGAGAGAAATATAGGATCACAAAGTAGATTGAACTAACAATATAACTTACGACAAAATTAAATCTATTTCATGGCATAGAGAACAAATATTTAAACTCATGGCCAAACTTTTCAAGATACTGTTGAAGGCAAGCAGCATAAATTGTTGCATGGTTAATTCCATTATAATGTAATCAGTATCGAAATGAAGTCAGTTAAGATAGACATAAGAACCTTCTTAACATGATTGTGTGAAGACTGTGATCCATGGTATAAATCTTCATTTGGTCTAGCTTTAAAGTCAGTGCTCTGCCTGAGTTTAGTAAGGTCATTCTTTTCTCTCTCCTGCATATCATGCCATAAATTGGTTTCACATGCAAAGAAGCAAATGAGATAATTTCACTCAAAAGAAGCAAATGAGATTAAAGGAAACAGTGTACTATATTCATGCATAATTACATAATCTGCACGTGCACACACAGAATATCCATAATGTGAATGTACTATGACATAATATTTTAGATCAAATCGGGCAACTCATCCAAAAGGATTCTTGAATTAGTTCACATCTCTGCAATTTAGGAGCTTGGCCTCCGCAACTGCAGGGTTTTATCAATTACACTAGTGCTAACTCCAAAATCCATATATCAATATCCTATCAAAGACACCTGACTTGTACCTTTGATCGTATTTGCATTTGTGATTTTTCCACCTCCTTTGAATTCATCTTATCTGCTAGCTTCTTAAAGAACTGGTATGGGGCAAATAAGGAAACACTGAGTCTTGGTACAATTTGAAATCATGACAAGTAAAGCGTGAGGAAGAGCAACAGTAAGACTTGCCTCTTTCCGTTTTGCTGCCCTTTCTTCACTCCTGAAACTAAACGGAGAGGAACTAATAGCAGATCTTCTACTAGTTCCACTTGCAGTTGAAGATTTTGAGCAGCTGCCACACATTCAATAAAGAATAATTATGGGGTTAGTATAAAGAAATGGGCTTCACTAATTAGGTCAATAGTATCTGAGACCCTATATGGAAAATAAAATAAGGATAAAGGAGCATACAGAAGCTATTGAATGGAGCATAACATCATAAGATTATAAACTTAATCTTAGTACTTCGAAATTAAAAAGTGATTAGCACAGCCAAAATATAGAATTTACTGTGTACAGTATAATGCACTTTTGGTAGTTTCCCAAAAAAAAAAAAAAGTATACTAAAAACTTGATTAGTTTTCAGACATCCCCTGTATACAAAACATGTAAAAGGTTAAGTAGCAAAAGCTCTTACTTGGAGAGAGTGGGCCATCTCCCATCTCCTGTTACCCCTCCTGAAACTGACTTATTGGGTGCTGCTCTAGTCCTGTAGATACAGATCTAATCATGTCAAGGAAAGGGAATCCTTTTAGGAAAAGTGTCAGCAAAGGCATTTTGGGAGGGAAGATTACCTTCTATCTTGTGACAGAGGAACTTTTGAAGCAAGCTTTGGACCCCCATTAACAGATGCCTGCAGTTTGGGAATGAAACTCCTCGGTCATTTAAAAAGTCTAAATCGCTTGGTGTCAACTTCCTGAACAATTAGTACCCTCTAAAAGAGTTTCTAAATAAAAATGTATGCTCAACAATATTGTGCTTTTTTTCCCCTTTGAAACATCATAAATATTATTATTTTGTCATCCACTATAGAAAATATCGAATACTATTTCAGCACATGCAATTGTCTTAATGTGCAGATAAGGAAAACAGCAAATAAATAAGGTGAGACAGAAGAAGTACCCTGGTTGGAGTTTGTAGTGGAGTCAAACTTTCTCTGGATATCTTAGGTGATGTTTTATTGGTTTCACCAGTTCGCATAGTGAAATTCATTGACATGTGAAGCGATTTTTGAACAATTCTCCTCTGCTCAGTTGAGTCTACTGCAGACGTCTTATTAATAAGAGCATGGTTGTTCGCAATTCTTGAAGGTGCTCGTTTGGATGCTCGGCCATGATTGGATAACTTCAACATGGAATTTGATTGTCTTTTGTCACTTGATGGAGCTAAATTCTCCTGATCAGCAGCTTTCTTCAATGTACTGGTTGGGGTTTGTAGAGAAGTTGGACTATCTTTTGGCATTCTCAACGATGTTTTAGTAGTTTTACTGGCACCAGAAGTAACAGTAATTGACTTGTGAAGCGAGTTTGGAATTGTGTTCATCTTGTCATTTGAGTTTCCTGCAAACTTAGCAACATCAGTATCACTCCTGGCTTGTGCTGAAGCCACTATTTTAGAAGGGTTTAATGGAAGTTGGGATGCTCTGATGGGTTTTGACGACTTTGACAATGAACTTGTTGGCCTTTTGTTGCTTGATGAAGTTGAGTTCTTCTGATCGGTACATTCCTGCAGCATCGCAGAATGAGGACAATCATGAAAACCTGAAAAAGGAAGAATAAAAGAGAACTTTGTTTAAATTAACGTTACGTTATGGGGCATCTTCTTGTGTGGGGTTGCCATAATCATGCCATGGTTCTCAATATTTTCAAGCGCCTTTGAATTTTCAATCTGGGTATTATTCTCTATAGTCACATTTTGCTCCATTACTGCTTGACCTCCTTCTGCATCAGTAACATCCATATTATCTCGTTCAACATTAAGATTTCCTGCATCTACATCCGCGGTATTAGCAACCGCAACATCAGAAACACCATTATCCTGTTGATTCATAGCTAAAGAGGTATCTGCATTGGCTGAATCTGTATTTAAGGAAGAGACAGCAAGCGCTGCATTTATAGTTCCCATTTGAGAGGCACCATTGATAACGGTATTTGCTTGCTCAAGCAAGGCTGCTGCTCTCATTGCAGCTCTTCTCTTGTAATGTGCTTCAAAATAAGCTTTCTTCTGAGCAACGGATCCTGGCTCTGAAAACTTTTCCACTTCTTCCAAGTAACGATTGTTAGAGAAGGTTGACCATTTCTCCCAAGCCAGCGATTCTGACATAAATCTGCCGAAAGATACTGATTCTGTGAGAGCACGAATTGGGTCACCCTGTGATTCAAAACCAATCATCAGTTTCCTGACCAAATTCTTCAAAGCTTGGCTCTAAAACTGCTGATCCCACACTGATCAAAGAATAAAACTAAAAGGTTCTCGACAAGCTCCATCCCTTATTGACATCTCTATTCATTGGTATAAAAATTGATTAAAAAAAAAACAGAATAATTAAAAGTTTTTCTTAGGGAAAGCTTTGGAATGACAAGCTATCATAATATGTTCTGTTTGGTTACTGAGAGAGTGAAAGGAAACGGTTATTAACAGCCCTAATGTGTTATTCATATCTCTTATGAGTACCCATTTTCCCATAATTTTCCAGCGACCAAACAAGTGTCAGTAAAATAAACAACTGAACTAAGAAAACCCATTAAGTAAACATAGTAAAATGAACAGCTTTTATAAGTAAAGTTTCAGTTTTTGTTCACAAAACTGACCTCTTTAGCTTTATGAGAAATATCTGCAGGATTAGAGAATGATTTTACGGATTCACCCATTTCCAAAACAACTCAAAAGTTTTTTTTTTTTTCAGTTCCCTGCTCTCTTCTCTTGCTCTCCTCGTTCGCTCTTGCACTTCACAACTTGCCTATCTCACTCTGCAAGTAAAAAGAAACCCAACAAGACAGATTCCCTTTTCTAACCGTTATTTGAAACCTAGGCTCTCTTTATCACAAGGTTCATGGTCATAGGTCCATTTCAATGTCCCCAGGCTAAACAATGGGTGAAAGTCACCAAGAACAGCAAGAAAAGGAAGCTATTTTTTTTTCGCCTTTTCTTTCTTGTTCTTTTGAACCTCACTTTATAACTCTGTTTCCTTTTTTTTTTTTTTTTCCCTATGTCTTCCTATGAATCTATGTTTGTAAAAAATCTAATAATTTTCTTGTGCGTAAGATGGATCTGATTGGTGGTCCCATTTGTTGAGATTTAAGAGCTTCCTAACGTTTAATTCCCTTTTTTTTTTTGGCTTTCTCTTATAGATGATTACTTACCACTAGTTCCTGCTAAGTCGAGACCGATTAAAAAACAGAAAAATGGGTGGATGCTCTGAATTTAGAGAATCTCTAAGCTTTATTGCATTTGTTTAATTGGGCTGCTAAATTGAATTTGGAAGCCATGAAAAAAAAAAAAAAGTAAAGGTGGAGTCATAGAGGTAGACAAATCCCATCTCAACAAAATAATTTTTTTTTCGAAAGAGATTATAATTCGAGAATTTTATATAATGAGATTTAAATTTTAAATTTATTAAAAATCTTATTTTAAAAATAATTATATAATAAAATCAAAGTTAAAAAAAAAAAGGGATTTGCAACGGTTTTTGTCGGCAATTATGCATGAAAGTGTGGGGGTAGATTCATATAGAAGAAATGTCAAAATGTCAATTGATAATCTTATAATTGCCATTCAACTAAAAAGGTTTTACAAGACCACATTAAAATAGAAATTAAAGGGCATCATTAAGACAGATAATAGACAACAAGACTTTTGCTCCAGATTTTTGGGTTGACAACAAGTTTCTTGGCAATATATATGCATTGCTAGAAGCTAATTTTCAGGCTAGAATCTCTTTCTTGTTTTATGGCTGTAATGAAGTGATTTCATACATCATACATGACCTAATAAAACAGTAGAGAAGGATTCACCAAAATAAAATATGGGATCCAGCAAAAGTGTCATGGTTCAATCATAGGCAATCTATGCTATATCTCCGAGGTCGCAAATCAGGATATATATTCATCGAGGTAGTCATTGGACAAACGAGGGCTTTCAACTATCTTGCAATCAACTCCGACCTTGCTTTGGGTTGAACTTACCGTCCAAAGCCTTGATAAATTAATGGCGGACAAAGCAGTGGTTGTGGAGTGCCAGATAATTGATTTCATTAATGGCTTTACCTTTTAGGAAAGACCATAGGCCATTGATAAAGAAGATTGTTCAGTTCAATTGCGTATATATAATTTAATTTAATTGATTCATATTATTATTTTTAAAATAAAATAATTCAATTGGCTTATATTATCAAATCATCTTACCACTTTTAAAAGATTATATCAGTCCTATGAAATTCAAAATTTATCACTTTTTTTTTAGAGAAAGAGTAACTGGTTTGTAATAGTTATTTGGCATTCAGAAAAGCTTAAAACAAAGGAATAATCTTTGTAAAAGTAATCAGCAAAACTAATTGAACACTTGGCAATTACATTTGCAAACAACTTTGGTAAACTCAAATAGCAACTTCTGCGGATTAATTTCTTACCTTGAACTTTAAAAAAGACAAAGCCAAAAGAAATTTGAAGCAAGCACAAAAATCAATCATTGGACATTGATGTCCAAAATTCTAGCATTACTACTAGCCTTGGGGATGGTTATGTACAAAACCCCATCTTTCACCTCAGCTTTAATCTTCTCAAACAGGATATTCTCAGGCAATGCAATTCTGCTACCATACCTCCCATAGCTCTTAGCAGACCATTCTCCTTCCTCTCCATTCTCTTCATCATTAATCTTCTTCTTAGGCACTTTCTCAGCTTTGACAACCAACATCTTCTCTTCAACCCACACTTTCACATCATCTTTGGTCATGCCAGGCATATCAAACCTCATCTTATACTCCCCCTCTCCTTCTTTAATCTCCCATGGCGTCCTGCCTCTACTGTAACCCCCGTTCTCAGTCGGCAAAGAGGATGGCCACGTGCCTGAGTATGCAAAAGGGTCTTCCATCAACCTCTCCATTGTTTCCATCATCTGCTGCACCGTTCTTGCTGTTGGGAACCTGTTCCACAACCCTGCTTATATAACAAGTTCAAGATTCAGTCAGCATCCGGATTTAGAACTGAAAAACAAAAAATTGCCCATACTACTACCTACCTATTGGTGAATCAGGGCCAGTCCTTTTCTTGTTGGGTTGGGAGTGGTGATGTTTGCCAACTCTTTGCAAGTGGTCAAGGTTGTCTCTACTCTCTCCTGCCATGGCCTTGATGCTGTTCTTACAGCTGAAACATCTGTTCTGTGTCAAGTTCTGGGGGAGTTTTGAAAAGGGAAGGTGACAAGATAAATTGCTGGCTTTATTGGAGGAATATAAAGGGAAAGAGATGGTCAGATTTGAAAGAGCTTGAGACATTTTTCTTTCAAGGTTGTTGTTCACCCTTGATTGGTTTATGGAAAGAAGAGAAATTGGAGCTCTGCCTTTGATTATCACTAATATTATCAAAGAGAAAGATGAAAAATGGAACCGATGATGATAGAAAGAGAGCCTAACGGTTCATATTTTAAAGGATAGAGTAGACATTTCTGGAGAGGGATGGGGAGTGGAGTCGATTGATTTCTAGATTTCTCCAGAAACCATATCTTTGCCTTCGATAAGTTTCCCTTCACAGGATCATAGCCAACTAGGAAGCGGCCATGGCCCGTGGGACTAGACGTGTATCACACGACATCGTTCCTCAGCAGAACAGCAACCTATTGTTATTGCATTGAAAATTTGCAGCAAGAGATGAATGCATCCGTAACAAAATTGTGGTGTCATATTGCAGGGTGAGAAAAAAAAATTTTAAAAATAAAAAATTGATTTCAATTTATAGTATTGGTTTAGTTTGAATCGGGTTTTTTTTTTTAGTTTGGATTAAACTTAAATATTAAAAATATATATTAAGTTTGAATTTAATTTTAGATCAAAAAATAAAAAATAAAATAAATTATATATTTTTATTTTATTTATATTTTAAATTTTTATAAAGTAAAATAATTACTTAAATCTATTTAAATATATTAAAAATTATAATAAAAATAAAAAATTAAATTTAATAAATTAATAAATTAAATCGAATCAAATTGATAAAATTCGATTTGAATTCGAATTAAATTTTAAAAATTCATGATTTTATATATTATATAAAAAATTAAACTGAATTTAATTTGATCTAAATTATTATTAGTCCTATCTTACTACCATTACCATACATTATTAAAATTAAAAAATTTGAAATTTAACTTAATTATTCATGTAATTATTTTTAAAAAATAACATTTAATAAATTTGAATGTAAATTTGAATATTGCATTCTTTTTTATGCTTTTATAAAAAAATTAAAAAAAAAGACAATAAGATAAAATTAAAAAAAAAAACGAAATTGACGAGGGAGTAGAAGGAAAGATTACAAGAAATCATGTTAATCACCACTTCTTAAAAAATGGGAATTGTTTGTTAATACAACCATATTAAGTTTTAATTATGATTTAGGGCAGACATCTTTGCTTGAAAAATCAGTAGGAAATGGTTTTTCCTTTAATCAAACTGAGCTCTCTTCAATAATTAATAACACAAATACACAAGTTTTATTTGTGGGCTACATTTAATTCAAAGCACAACGTTGACAGAAAATTTTTCGAGATTTGGCCCAAACCAAGTACTTTGTGGATTTAAAATACAACTCAAACAAAAGATTTTGGATTTGAAGGCCCACATCTGGACGGGCCAAAATTTGTTGATTCTTTTGAAACCATTCAAGAGTACATTTTTTGTATGAGTAACAGTCGAGATTTCACTTGTGAAATACTTTTCATAATTTTTTATTAAAAAATAAAATTTTTTATCAACTGAACTGATTCTTATGAGTGAATTTTGAGACATTATTATCATATTATGCATATATATAATTATATATATCTTTTTTTGAAAAAAAAAAATGAAGCATGGGACATTCTTTCAATGGAATTTAGTGAAGTATCTTTCATTGGAAAATTCAAATCACCCTATTGGACTTTAGGCATGGGACATTTTGATATGGGCAATTTGCCCCTTGACTTTCTAGATGTTGAAGATCCTCATATCCACTTGAAACAAGAGAGAGAGAGAGAGAGAGAGAGAGAGAGAGAGAGAGAGAGAGAGAGAGAGAGAGAGAGAGAGAGAAGTCCAGTTGTAGTTTAGCTGTGAATTGAAAATCACACTAATCATTAAATGTTTAAAGTTAAATAATGCAATTTTGAAGCAAATTCAAGCAACGTTCCATAATTGATGAGATGCATGCATGTAAGATTATAAGGTTCTACCTTTCTTCGCAAGATTAATTGTGTAATCTCAGATGAATATATACATAGGCTGATATGAAATGAGATGCATGCCATTGTTTTTACTTGTTAATATAATTTTTGGTTTGATGATTAAGAAGCTTGTTGGAACTTGAAAAAGAAAGATCACATATAATTAATCATGAAGAAAAAAATTAAAATTTAGTGACGTTTTCAATTCCAAACGTTATTAAAATTTTAAGTTTACTGGCGTTTTTTCTCTAAGCGTTGCTGAATGTTTATTTAGTGGCGTTTAAACACTACTAAATTTATAAAAAAATGACAATTAACAGCACTTGTTTAAAAATATCACTAAAAAAATAACTCCAAATCTCCATTTTCTTGTAGTGGTTGGTGATGTTTTACCAATTTTCACTTTCTTTGACTGCTAGGCAGCTTTTGCTTATGGTGACATTGATATAATAAGTCACTGGTTTGAGTCTGCTACCTGTTTCCACCAAATGATATATCTGGGTTCAGCCTAGGATTGGGATTATGAAGTAGAATTTAGTGGCTTGGAGAATTGTCTTTGATGCTTCAGCAATAGTAGCTGTCAGAGCCACATACTCAGACAAGAAAAACATTGATGCCAAGCATCCAAGTCGCGTTGAAAACTTGTCTGCCTTTTATATGGAGCCGGTTTATGTCTATCGGTCATAACGGTACGGTACGGTTTTGGGCATTATTAGACAAATTTTTAAAAATTTCAAAATAAGAAAAATATCCAAAAAAAAAATTATTTTAATAAAATTTTAAAATTGATTAAAATTTATTAAAAAAATAATTTTTTGATAAAATTAGATTTGAGAGTACAATTATATGTAAGAAAGAATTAACATCTTAAAACACCCATTTTTTAAAAATGGTACTAATTAATCATATGTTATTCTTAAATTTGATAAAAATATCTTAATTCTAATATTTAAAATAATTTCCTTAATTTTTATTTTTGTAAAAATATTTTAAAATTTTTTTATTTAGAAATAAAATGAAAATCTTTAGTTATGAAAGAAATTTCTAAAATATCTCTCAATTTGGATTTTCATAATAATTCTTAAAATTCTTATAAAATTCTTTTATAAGAATAATTATTGAGAAGCCCTCTAATATTTAAGTAGGGTATCAAGAATTATTTTTATTTATAAATATTCATTTTTATTCTCAAAAACAAAATGTCAAAATCACTCTTTTATTACTTTATATTTTTCAACAATAATAAAATGTATGATATAACATGAAGAGGTCAAATAATACAAACACAAATTAAAATATGCCAATACAAATTTTAATATGCAAATTATCAATTGAATTCATCTTATAAACCTTTAATTTTATCTTTTTTTTTTATCATTTATTTTAAAAAAACTAGTGATAAAAGAAATTTTATTTATCATTATTTGTTATTATTATTATTCTTGGTATTGAAAAATTTTTCTTTAGTTCCTCAATATTTAAGTGAAATTTAAGAAAATTAATCTTTTATTTAAGAAATTCTCATAATTATTTTTTGATAAAAATAAAAATAACGACCTTTAGTAAAATATGATTTATATTCTTTCGAATATCTAAGCTGGTCTCTTAAGTCATTTTTTAAAAGTATTATTCCATATTTTTTTTCTACAAGAATTTTTTGGAATTGTTATTTACTATTTCACATTTATTATTAATATATAAAATGCATATACGATAATAAGAGATAAATTAAATGATACATGTAGTATGTAGTTCCATTTCTTTTCTAAATAGATTTTATTCATGATGGCAATGACCTTTTTTTATGTTAAAAATATTTATTTTTATTTTTAACCTCCTAATATCTAGGTATAATTAAAAAAAATTGATCTTTCACTTGAGGAATTCATATAATAATTTTTAAATTAATAACTTTTTTAAAACAAAGATAATATTCTTTTACAAAAAAAAATCATTTCAATTCCCTCTAATATTTAAGTAAAATATTCAAAAGTTATTCTTGTTTAAAGATACGATCTTTTTGTCTCTTCCTTTAAAAAAAAAAACATATTTATTAGTGCCTAACAACTGTATATTAGGAACTGCTAAATTATCCATATAAACATTTTATTATTTTTTAAAATTTAAAACAAAATATTAAACCAACATAAAAAAAGAAAGAGATATATGCTAAAAGTCATGGGAGACATTATATCTTACTTAGGATTTGTGTTCTAGCCTAACCCCACGTAAACGAAGTTAGGTGAACCAACATGAAGTGGACCTTGGGTCAAAAACATGTGGGTTGAATCTGGCAGTAAACCACCAGGTCAGGTAAATCACTAGGTTATGGGTACAGCCATGTTTCAGGTTTGACCTACTTTCATTTTTTTTAATTATTATAAAACTCGTTATTTTTTTTAAAAATTTATTTCCTTTCCTTTTTTTAAACAAAAAAATTTTCATTCTTAAAAAAAAAAAAAAAAACTAAACAACACCCTTTAAATCCTATTTTCAGCAATTAATAGTCAGTTAGATCATTGCTTGCTATCATCGATTGTCATCATCTAGCATTTTTTTCAATTAAAAATTTCGTCAAAAACTCTTTTTGACCCCGTTTTTTCAAATCCAAGCTCAAATTTATCAAAATCAATCCCCATAGTCCTAGATCAAAGTCGAAAGCCATGGCATAAAACTCTAAAAAGATCGACCTTCGTTGCCCCAAACACCACCATTTCTCAATATGTTATCCCCCTCCCCAAGATCTATCTTTCCATTTTTAGGATTATCAAAAGCTTTAGCCACTGCCATTCGCTGCTTACGCTAGCACCATCGCAAGCTCTTGTTAGAACTAATCTTTAATATTTCCTTCTCATTTTAACAACCTCCAAAACCTACATCCTAAATTTTAGACCTAAAAAGAATATCCAACAAAATTTGACCCAATTCTCCATGCTCTAAAAACCCCTTTTTTCAAAATTTGAAAAATCCTACCCAAATTACGATTATCTCCCTTTCATTACCAGGAATATTTTCCCTTTTTTCTTCACTATTGCTTCTTCACTAAACGGAATGAGGCTGTTACTTTGTGTTTGTGTTTTTTTTTTTTTTTTTTTTTATGTGTGTTTCAGGGCTATTTACAATTTTCAGCAGAAATTGAGAAATAGGTGAAGAATGAATGGTTTTAGGATTGTTGATGGGTTAGTGATAGGTGATTATGAGAGTTTGTTAGTGGTGGGTGATTATGGGAGCCTATTGGTGATGGATAGGTGTTGGAAACTGATAGTGGTGGTGCTTTGGCAAATGTTGGGTGATGAGGAAGGCTTTCGGTGGTAGGGAATTCTGGGTGAAGCTAGAGGTTC